TGAGATTTCTTGTTCTGTCACTGACAATCGGTCAGGTTTCAAAGATGTGTCTTACCAAATCACAGAAAATGGAAATATACTTACTCTGAAGAAAGACGTACTTAGATAACCTCCACCACCTGCCTCTTGGTGGGAATGCACCAGAGAGTCAGCCCCAGAGCTGAGCAGGAGGCAGGAGCAGGGCCAGGCTGGACTGGGGCCTGGGCGGGCAGGGCAGTCACTGGACGTCTGCGCTCTTATCTGGTTTCCACCGAGGGGGTGGTCATTCCTGGCTGCACGTTTGTGCGGGGGGTGTCTGGGTCCTGTGCTTTGTAAGCCTCACGGATCTCCTGGCTCCTCTTCCTTTTCACTGTCTCCTGCTTATCAGCACATTGGCATGAGAGGCATGAAAACGAGGCCGGGCACGGGAAAGGAGCTGGGCAGACAGGATCAAGAATTTGCTGTGATACAGCACTCCCATTTACCCAGGGGTCCTGGAACCTCTTGGAGATGTGTTATGATTTCTACATAAAGTGGATAAAGGGTGACCCACAGCCAGCGAGCTGAATTTCCTATTGCTTGTTTAACTGAATATTTACTTACTGAGGAAAGACCACTTTTTTTTCAAAACAAAACAAAACAAAACAAAACAAAAAACCACAACCACACATCAATGAGGGGAAGTGGATTAAGAGAAGAAAGGGAGGAAAGCACGCGAGTCTTTCAACAGAATAAATCAATAATCATTATCATTAATGTTAGATTTTGTAGTTTTTTTCAGTGTGTATAAGAGGATACACAATATGAATGACCAACAATATGAAATTCAGAGTGGACAAGTGACCTCATAGGTGTCATGGCACAGTGTCACTTCGAACTGAAGTCTGGCATGTAGGTCTGTCTTGTTCAAGATACGAGGAAAGCGATCTCATAGGATGGACACAAAAGGGGGTGTGTCTCTGTCCAGGACATGCCAGGGACCTGTTCCTCAGAGCAGTTGGTAAGGGGCTCTTCCCTTTTGGATTAGTAGAGAGGGAACAAGAATAGAGTCCAGTGAGAAGGGCCTTCTCTCACCCTCACGCCTTCTCTCACCCTCACGCCAAGAAGGCTCACTGTGTAAAGCCCAGAAACCTGACTGGAGGAAATCACATTTGTGTAAGTGTAGAGAAAAGAAAGGTAGGGGTTTGTGGTCTGCATCCTTGAAGGAACAAACTCAGGAGGGACAGACTCTGAGATGAACGGCATCATCAGTAACCCTGAAGAGGTGGCAAGGGGGACCGAGCTGATGGAGTCGTTGCGTTTTTATCCACATTCAGTTTAGAAAGGGATGTGTGCAGAGGTAGAAGGAAGGACACAGAACCAAGGGCACACTGAAAGGATTGACACATTTTGTTAAGGGGGTAGAGCCCACAAAACTCTGCAGAGTCCCTTTAGGACATCCTTCCCTTTAACAATTTCTGTGGGAACAGTGCCTGCGTTGAGCTGAGGGTTGCAAAAATCACTAAAGTTGGCCGAAAAAAAAAAAAAAAGAGCATAGTGCATTATTTTTAGTTATGATTAAAAAAGGGATGAGGCCACTGCTGAGGCGTTGGAGTGTTGGTTCACAGAAGGTGAACAGAGGCTGGAGGAAGAAAGTCGACCTCTGCCTAGCCTTCCCACCACAGTAAACTGGTTTTACTGGAAACACTTTAAAGCACCTCATTCACCGTGCCCTGAACACAGAAGGGGAGGGGACATGGCACACTAATAAGTAGCACGTTCTCTCAAGGTCACTTTTAACTCCAAATCTCAGGTCCCGCAGGCTTCCAGCCCACGCGGGCCCCTGGGTACACCCACAGATAGAGTAACAGAGGTTTCCAAAGACTGTGGTAGCAAATGTCCCAGTGTATCCACAGAGGAAAGACATTAGGGATGACTCCCTACTTTGGGGACTTATGAGAGTGGCAAAATTGTAATTAATATGTAATTTAGGGAGGCTTTTAAAGTCCCTTGAAAAGGATGGAAATTGAGAATTATCATGGGTTTGGGAAAAACAGGCCAGTTCAAATAGCTCTGTTGACTGTCCTCTCCCTCTAGACCCCCCTTCTGCTTGCTCTGCACATGTGCGCGCGCTTCAAGCTCAGCTCAAAAGAAGCCTCCTCTGGGAAACTTTCTAAGTCCAGTGTGATTTAGCCATCTCGATGATCTGAAAGCATATGCTCTCCTTTTACCTCCCCACTTCCCTGCCAGTTCACTTGGTGGGATCCTAATGCCAAATGTGATGGTAGAAGAAGGTGGGGTTTTTGTGAGGTGATTTGAGACATGAGGGTGGAGCTCCATGAATGGGATTAACACGCTCATAAAGGAAACCTCAGGGAATCTCCCTGGCCCCATGGGACACATGGGGACACCTCATGAGGAAACAGGGAGATGTCTGTGACGGGGAAGAGGGTCCTGTCCCAATCATGCTGGCCTCTTTATCTGACTGAGTGATACATTTCTGCTCTTTCAAAGCCAACCCATCTGCAGTCTTTGTTACAGTAGCCAGAATGGACTGAGCCAGGCCCTTCTCCAGGCTCTCCAAGTATTCTAAGCACTCCGCTATCTTAGGGCTCTTTCCCTGCTGCAACTGATAGCTTCATTACCTGCCTTTCAGATCCTGCACACCCTGAAGGGGTTTATATTTGCAAAATCCACACAGTGCTAGCCACACAGGGCACTCTCAAGAAGTGATGATTCTCTGAATGAGATTAGCTGAGAGGGTCAGTCAACCTGAAGGGAGTTGTCTATGATTGTGCTCTGTAGGCTTCTCCAAATCTAGACTTTTATCAGTGCCTTAGAGGTATAATATACTTTCCAAGACTATACAGCTGGGAAAGGAAGAAAATGAGAAGAAGGTTCAAGGTTCAAGAATTTGCAACCTACAGGCTGAGCATAAAGACTGAAAACACAGATAACATTTTTATATAGAATTGACTGGGTTTGATTTTTCTGCCACATTCTAAAGACAAAGGTTTTTTTGTTATTCTGTTTAGTTTTTGGTTGAAAATCAGAGACAAATCATCACAGATGAGTATGTAGGTGCTGGTGGAATAGCTGCTGAATACACTGTGTTCACTGCAGTTGTGTGCAGTGCTGGGAATTCTGCATTTCTAAGGAAGAACAGCACACTGCACATCTAGATCATGGATTGTGGCTGAGCACAGTGTGCGTTATACTGTAATAGCACTAAGCCATTTATTATGTATGCTTATCTGTCTTCCCAGACTTTCTGGCTACACTGCCTTAGAAAGAAACCTGACAATCAACAATAAAAATTTAATGGAAATATCAATGATATTAGGTCTGAAAGCAAGAAGTTGTATGGGGACTGTCTCACTTTATTCATCCACCCATCCAGCTAGCCAAACTGAGAACTCACAATGTACTAAATACTCTGCTAGAATCTATCTTAGTGGAAAATAAACATTGCCTCCCTTGAGCTTATATCCTAGCAGAAGTAAATGGATAATAAGTAAGCAAACGAAATAATTTCAAATGCTAATGAGGGCCATGACTAATAAAATAAAACAATGTGTAATGGGGAGAGGGGACAACTTTGAGTGTGTGGGCAGGTTTAGAGGCATTTCTGAAGCTTGTAGCAAGTTTATATGACAAAGAATTTGGTGGGACCAGTGATCTTTAGTTACATGTGTATCTAGGCTATGCTGTGAACTGTAAGCCGGGGTCATATTAATAGAACAGAGTGATAAGATCAAGGACAGTGACAATCCTGCAGCCTCTGTAGCAGTCACATTGCTTCTAGATCAACTTTTGTGGTTGCAAATGTTACACATTAAAAGAATCTTGGAGCGTAGGCAGAAGAGGGTTACCTTGTTGGGAGAACTAGGGAAGTTTAATTTGTAGGAGGAAGTGCCCAGAGGTCCTTTTTAGGAAATCTGAGGTCTCCAGATGTTCAGAGAAGAATGAATCCATTTTGTGTGGTTCTTGGAATCTAGACCCAAACTACTGTTGAGATGAAAGCACAAAGGAGGAGATGTTTATAATAAATTTGGAGTTGTACAGAAGTGGTATAGGCCCCTCTACCTTCAAAATGAAGGGTCCCCATATTGAGCAAAGCCTTCCCCTTGAGGAAACATCTTTGGGGACAGGTAGTGTAGTTTTGCTTCTTTGGAAGATATTCTCATCTTTGGATATCAAATCATCTTTAAACTATCTGAGCTTCAAGCAGTAATAATGCTTCCTTCTAAGATCTTGTATTTCCTTGGAAGAGTGATCTAAAGACTGGAGGCACTGACTTGTCTTTATTAGTCATGGTCTCCTCTTGTCATTGGGGTAGAATGATGTCTTGCTGGGAGGGACAGCCCTTCCCAGGAAGCTGTGGGTTCCTCACCTTCCTGCCTTCAGGAACAGGATGTGAATCCTGAAGACCTAAGCACATGTGCTAGCCAGTATGCAGAGAGCCAACTCACAGTGACATGCAAAGGCTACTAAAACCAGAATTCAGTTGCAAACAGCTGCCCGATTCCTTTGGTCACTTCCCTATGGATGTGTGTGCTTGCACTCTAGTCTCAGGAAAGCTGTCTGAACTTGCCATGGGTGATGCTTGTGTACAATGAGGCTCCGGTCAAAGGCTCAGTTTGATATAGTTGTTCTTAGAGCTTCCTCTGGGGGCATAAGGCCTCTCCCTTTCTCTGGACTGTGGACTTATCACAGGCAGGTGGATGTTCCACTTTCTGTTCTAAATGCCCTTTTAAGGCTATGTCTTCACAGAAAGGCGTAACTGAACTGTAAAGTGCATGGAGTCCATTTAATTGCTGAGCATGATTATTTTATGGTTGTGATTTGATAGCCTATCAGTTCTGTCTTTTCCCTTATTTGGTCTGTTGGAACAGTAAGTAAATCAAAATGCTTTAGGTTTCAGGCTTTGATTACCTTGAACCTCAGGTCAATGTATTTTTCACCTATTAACCTCGCAAATAAAATGTGTTTTTGAAAGACAGTGGAGAATATAGGATGTAAGGTCATTGGAAAAACAATACCTGAGCCACAGACAACAAAAACAAACAGTGCCAACAGCCATGGTCCCACAGGATATTTCTCTTCTTGCGGCCTCTAAAAGGGAACAAGATAAAGAAAGATAAGTTCATTCATTCTGTAAACATTTATAGCGCACGGCTAGGTACTGTGTTGGTGTCTGAGGGTTCCACTGTGCATGAAGCAGACCCAGGCTCAGAAGGCAGAGCCCAGGCAAGCCCAGAAGGCAGAGATGAATAAAGTCAGCTGTAAAGGATCCAGATAGGTTTAGAACATTCTCCAGTTACCTCAGTAAGCCCCCTGTATCTCAGTGAACGTTGTGGTCTTAACTATTTTGGGTAGAGATGGGGTATAAATACATAAACCATTGCAGTGAATTGGGAGCCATTTTCTTAAAACCTTCTCTGTGCCTATGTATACATATGTGTGTGTATGTATGTATGTGGAATGTATGTATGTGCATATATATACACACATATATATTTCCATATATATATGTATGTTCCATATATATATATATATATATACATGTATATATACACATGCATATATGGAATCAGTGTGGTGGAAATTCTTGGAATGATGAAGACCACAGCAACTGTGAGTGATGTGAGGAAGCTGCCTTTTGTAATAAACTCCCAAGCCTTAATAAAACTTGGGCTTTGGAGAATGTCCCCATTGCCTAGCAGCTGATGGGACTGTCACACCTGCACCTAGCCTGCCTCCTGCACATCTCAAACCCAAAGCACAGGCTTCATGGTGGGAATGGCCCTCTGTGCACAACCCTAGGTTATATGTAGGTAAGAGCATGACTCTTAAAATAAAGTTAATGGAAATGGAAAAAAAGTATTTTCTGAGAAAAACATCTAAAAAAAACCTTGCATTTCTCAAAAAGGGAGAAGGTAAGAGTGGATAAAGCAAAAATCAAAGTATTTCCTCATTAGTTTGAGCCCAAAAGAGGTTGTAGCTTCTATGTTGTCTATATATTCATAGACAAGGTAGCAGTTCTCTGAGTCTCTGGCTGTTATATCCTTGAGGGTCTCTTTCTTCTGCCTTACTTGGATTCTTTGTAAGTGATGTCACCATCTACTTTTTTGCGAGTGTATTCTTCACAGTCTGTAGCTTGATGTTCATTCCTGTGGTAATGTTTACTCCCTGTACCTTAGGACTGCATGTCCTAAGGTAGGCATTGTGTCTATTTTATGTACCAATATGTAGCAAAGTCTGGTACTGAATTTGAACATAATAGATGCTCAATAAGTTTTGTTCAGGAGTGAATAAGCATACAAATTTCATTAAGTACTGTTTCTTAGGTAAGACAGATTCTGGGAAGTGTTGTCTTTTTTTTTCTTTTTTTCTCCGAATTAATACTTCCTACTTGGTGACAGGATTACCCTTTCATTTCTCTTACTGGAGAATTATGGATTAAAGAGTCTTTGTAGTCTACCCTTGTAGATTGACTAAAGATTAAAGCCATTCACATCTGTCTCCTGGAAAACCTGCTTTCTACCACTGCTGTCTAGAGGCAAAATCACACTGCCAGGAAATAGGTGGTTGTTCTTGATCAGACAAGGACAGATCAGCCTTTAGTAGCTGCAAAAGATGCCTTTGACCAGCATTTTACTAGTCATTCCTTGGCAGCTAAGGCTACCTCAAGTTCAAGTAAATAACAGAGTTATTGTTTAAATAAGGTTATCTGGAAGGAATGTGGCATTTCCCTTCCCCACCCTCTTTCACCAGTTTCAACAACTTGGTATAGTTAACCAAAAACCAGTTTTTTCTGTTGCTGTCGTCATCCCACTAATGTTATATAAAAGTTACATTTCGTTCTGTCTCCAGCAAAGCCAGCAAGTGAATTCAGAAGCCTGTAAAATAATCATTGGTCTAATATAGATACCAAATGGAGTCTTTTATTTTTCTGTTGCAGGAAAACACGAATTATCAGTAGGCATAGTTTGCAGTATTTGGCACAAAAAAAAAAACAAACCCAAAACCTTTGATGATGTTTCCCAGTGAGTCAATTTTATTTGGGGCCTTTCAGAGCTCAAGAACACCTGGCTGATTGTAGTACTGACATAACCTTTTTTGAGAGCTTTGGGTTACCCCTTTTGGGAAGAAATATCCAATATAATTCTCATCGGGAAAATTCACCTAAACCTGAATATCCCTGGAAGAAGCATTAGCATTCCAGCAAATGGCATGGCTTGTTTCAAACAGGAACTGTTACTTCCTGAGTTTCCAAAATGTCAAGGTATGGTTTTTCCCTGTGAAAAGATACCAGTGAGGATCACAGATCTCTAAAATTTAAATTCCCCCTTCTTTCTGAAGAACATATTAGTTGTATAATCAGGAAATACTTATTCCATTCTCTATTTCTTGACTGTATCTCCTACTTGGGAGATAACATTGATTCACCTCATAGCTATAGCTGTTAATAAAATACCGAAGCATCTGCATACAATTAAAGGAAAATTATATTTCTAAATATTTGCTCTGAATTTTCAATTGTAAGCAGTTATGGTCCTCCTTTATTGAATTTCATCTAAACAAGTTATTTTTTGCAAATTATGTTTTTCCAAAATATAATCATGTTTGATCTATACTGGGAATATAGAATTTAGATTCAAAGAGCTTCTGAAAGAGAAATTTACTTTTCCTTTTGGACACTAATTCACTTACAATGAAGTTAAACAAAAGCCATCCTAACCATTTGAAAAGAAACAAATATAAATAGCTTGATCTGAAAAACTTTCATTACAAATTTAGCAGAGCCATTAAAAACCCTTGGGCACTTTTGAAAGGTCTACCCCAGGATATACCAGAACCTATTAAAATCCACTCATATAGGACATTAAATATGATTTGAATGTGGCTTTGAAAGTTGAGTTGAATTGCAGGTAACTAAATTTTCTAGATATTTAGAGTTTTCCCTTCATTTTTCATTTTCTTTATTTTGGAGACAATAATTTTTGTTTCTGGTTCTGAACATTTTTTTGTGGTCTTGAAAAGCTAGAGGTGGCAGACACTGAATTTTCCAGGTCTATCTAATGGATAAAACAGCTCTGCCAATTAATCCTGATTTGTTGTTACCTTTGCAGTCAGATAGGTTGTGAACTGAGTTCTGTTAACAACTGAACTGCACTCTGATTTCTTAGTTCATTAAAAGTAACAACTAGTACATTTGACATTGGGGGGAGGTGATCTAGGATTATAAGACCCTGACTGCTTTAACTTCAATTTTAAAATTGTTTCTCAATGTCAATTTGTTTAGCAACTTTTCTTTTTATGAGTAAAAATAAAAAAGTGTAGGTCTATGTGAAAAATGGCTCATTGATAGCACATTGACAGTTTGCTGTCCAATCACAGTGAAATGGCTTGATTCCCAAATGAGAGAAATTTAAGGCACAAATGAAGCCTGAGCTGTCCAAAGGTCTGAGCAGTTGATTTTGAGCCTAAGGTTACTATGTGCAATACTGCTTGGTTTTGCAAGAATTCTGCTATGATGACTGCAGATTCAGTTTTTTGCTCACTCAATCAAGCCAGCAGCATTTTTCTGGTCAAAAAGAATTGCCTCATCAAGAATGCAAACTTTTCCAGCCAAAGTCGAAGCTTCTGCTGAGCTTAACTATAACGGGACAAACGATCCTATGCACCTTTGCTCATAGGCTTGGAGACCAACAACTGCCCAACATCTCATGGGACAAGGCTCATAACGTCCAAAATCAAAAGGTCTGGCATTTTCTGAAGATAACCTGCTTTGCTAAAAGAAACCCCTGTGCAGAAAGCACAGATTTTATTTAAAAGGGATGTTATAAAGCTTTAATCTGAAGGTTTTTTTTTGGGGGGGGGGCACAGAATGCCTGGCAATAAACTAGTCTCTACAGTTAGTAGGATGGCCGCACAGGTGAACAAGAGCACTGTGGTATTTAAACTAGCCCAGTGGTGAGAGACTTCATTGGAGAAGTGGCAAAAGGAGGGGGAGGATGCTAGGAAACAGCTCTGAAGCTCATTCTGCATTGCCAATTTATACTGGGAAACCATTAAGAAGGAAAGAACACCTTATTGCGATGTGCATCTATTAGGCTGAAGCGCAGAGGTGAAGCCTGGGAGGCCTCCATTCACTCATTCATTCACTTATTCACCCAGCAAATGTTTTAGCATCTACTAGGTTCTGGGCCTACTGGCTTAACTGTTCCCTCGGGGATGTGACTTTCGGTCTTTCCCAGAGACAAAGGCCATCTTCCTTCCTCGGCAGAGGCTCCCAGGTAGCCCCAGCAGCAGCTCGCAGTGGGCCCGGACCAACCAGAGGGAGCATCAAGAAGTCCGCGCAGCCCTGAGGCCATCTCTCCCAGCCCACTCTGCGGGACCCCAGCGAGGGGCGGGCACGCGGAGGAGATGGGAGGTCTGGCCCTACGGCCTCGGCAGCCCTGCGGCCCACCCCCGCCCCGCCCCGCCCCGGCCCGCCCTGCCCGCCACTGCCCGGTCGGCGCCGCCCCGCCTTACCAGGGTTTTGGCTACGTTCCCCCTCTGGGTGATGTTTTTGCTGTGCTTCTCGTTAGCCATCCGGATCCGCTGTTTGGCCACCATGGCTTGGGCACTAGGAAGTGCTCTCGACTCTCACCTGCAAGGATCCCCCCGCGTGAGCCCCTGACCGGGCCAAGCCCGTCCCGCCCGCCCTGGGCGCTGCAGGTGGCAAGGCGCGGCCCCGAGCCCCGGGTATCCCGCTCCCAACCCCCAACGTTCCGGCTCCAGAGAGAGGCCAGAGCCCGGACGGAAGTAATCTTTCATCTCAGGAAACCCTCTCCTACTTCCTCGCCATCCTTCCGGTCCCCCCAGCTACCTAACCAGCGCGGCCCGACGCAGCCACTGCTGGGCGAGCCGAGCTGCTCGGGGCTGCGCCCCTGTGGAGACTGGATCGTGCAGCCTAAAGCTGCGGGGCCAGGGTTCTGGCCGGCCACCACGTTTGTGCGCACTGGGGGCGCGGCCGCCCCACGGGTACCTGGGCTGGGAACACATGCAAATCTGGGGGAAGAGAATGGGGTGGCCGCTGCCCAGGCCAGGCCACAAGGTAACCCCTACATCGGTTCCCCTTCCCCTGGAATGACTTTTCCTGAGCTCTTGGGGGAACAGTACAAATGAACTTCCCTTGCAGGGGTCTGAGGGAAGCCCACTGTGGGAGGGACATTATTTTACTGCTGCAACCAGGGCAGGATCTCGCTAGGGTTGGGGAGAAGGAGCATGAGGATGACTGATATTGGCCTTCCATCCTTGTCGTTGTGGGGTCACGTGGAAGACGGGTCAGCAACACTTATGCGTGAAATGTGGAGGAAGAATGAAGGGGTCTTGGCCGGCAGCCCAGGTGGGATTTGGTGGTCACTGCCCAAAGCTGGATAGCATTGACCAGCCCCTGCCACCCTGAACATCTTCTGGCTATAGTGCCCCCTGGACTTGCTCAGCCACTCTTGGGGATGGGGAGTCCCCTTGACTTGGAGGCCTAGAGCTGAGGTCTCACCAAGGCTGTGTTACCGGGAGCAGGGGCTCGGTCTTAGGCTTTCCAGGTGTTGAACAGAATGGGAGTTAGCCTGGATCAAAAGAGTAAGCCAGGAACCCTGAAGGACTGGGAGAGTGGGAAGTGGTGGGGAATGTTTCTCCTTTCTAGTTGCAGGCTTCTGCGCAGGCATCTTGGCTAGGTTTCTGCAGGCTTTTGTGTGAGTTACATCCCTTTTCCTCAGTGTGAGGTTAGAGCGCCTTCACTTTTGGGGGGGGGGAGAGACCTCTGCTAAGCTCATCTCCACTCGTTGAAGCTTTAACACAGGCTGTTTTGGGGGCTGCTTTTGGTAACCTAGAAGGAGACCATACCTAGGGTATTGATAAAGTGTGGTGATTTTTTTTCTAGTCTAGAGGTCTGTTATGTTTCCAAACCACTTTCCTTGGGTTTCTGACTATTCCAGCAACGTCACCATCTTTGTTACCAAGTAGTCCCAGCTCTAGTCCTGCGTTTTTAGTAACTACTCGCTTGTGTGTGTGTGTGGGGGGGGGTCGGTGGGAGTGGGGGCAAGTCCCTCCTCCCTCAGCAGGATTTGCGGAGCCTGGCTGTGGTGTGAGGTTCAGAACATGTCTCTCCCTGATTCAGCTCTCTCAGAACTTGTGGAGATGCCCAGGCTGGAGGCAGAAGTAGGAGCAAAGTCCTTCCCCTGAGTTGAAATCAGACCTGACTCAGGAAAAACAATAAGCAGAAATGCATTCTTGCTGGGAGAAACCTGGCACCCATAAGCGCTGGTGAGCTGCCTTGCTTGGAAAGAGTTTTCTTTAACCTGTTTGATAATGACTAATTAAATGCTTAAATTTTACATTTTTTT